TAATGGATTATCTCACGAAAAAGGATATTGAGTGGGAGCCGAAGTCCGCACTCAATAAAAGCTATAAGAGGGAAGGGCATAGAATCAGTTGTGAGCATGATAGAGTCATCCTCCCCAGCCAACCTCAGATGAACGTCGGTCGGGATGTCAAACTCTCGCCTAAAGTGCTCTAACTTGGTCGGGGTGTCTACCCTATGCTTTCACATACCCATGATATCGGCTTAACTGGAGGAGTTGGATTTCAGAATGGAGTGTTTTGGAGGGTTTTAGGGACCTCGGCTAAAGCCTAAAAATACACAGAATCTGTGAGGAATCGTTTCATTTTTTCCTAAAAATTCGTGGGTTCTATAAACAATCCCAAACCTAGATCTATGGAAACAAAAGGCACGAATCTGGAAAAGTCACAAAAAACAGAAAAGCAAGAATGTGTTTCAGAATCAAGAACAGTGGTGAATTATCAAGAAAACTGTGACAAACTGTGCACAAGGGCACGAGGCCAAAGACAATGGCAAAAGTGAGCAAATTTGTGAATAGTGTGTGCGTATTCAAGACACAAATTGGGCAGAAACAAAATCGTACGGTAAACGTGCTCGAATACATGATTCATAAATCGAATACTTGAGCAAAACAGCAATGGCAGCAAATAATGAAGCGAAACTTCTTGAAAAGCAACGAGAAATTGAAATAAAAGGGAACTGTGACTTACGCAAGAAAAATGAAGCCGAAGTAAATTTTCGTTGGGATCAAGCGGTAGCTGGAAGCAAGGAAATATGGCAGAAACTTCGCCAGATGAGAGAGTCAGGCTGGTCGCAGAAAGCTTCGTAAAAGCAGCAATAGAGGATTTGGAAGAAAAAGCTAGAGAGAGAAAAAGCTTTAGAAATAACAATGTCAAGTGAAAATACGAAGAGAGAGGACACTGGTTTTGTCAAAAACGCGAAAAGGCACAAAATGGAATTGATGAGCCTAGAACGACGAAATTGTCAGATGGCGCACGCAGGCGTGAGACGACTTACGGGTGCGTATCAGGTACGACCCAGTGAGGGGAAGACACGTGGCAGAAACGGTTGATTTATTTTGCATAACAGCTCACACACGTGATAAAACTCTTAGAGTTCTTGGTTTAATGAAGCAATGACATCGGCTGATAGGAAATTTTGAAACCTTGATGAGACAAGATTGCAAGACCTGATTGTGTAAAGCCAATGTATTGTGACCTCGATAAAAAGGATGATACAGCGAGACGGCCAACATGCTATATGATATAACGATATAGGTTCCATCACCTCAGGATGTTGAGGTAATAGAACCTAGGGGGCAGTTATGGGGATATATTTTATGAGTACCAACACGTGGCCAAGGTGACGCTGACGTGTCAGCCGAGGTGCCACGTGTCCTGGTCATGACACCGAGGTGATCTCGGCTAGCCCGAGGTTATCTTCGAAGATATCGGAATCCAGGATAAGCGGATAAAGGACAAGAGTCCTAGAATGAGGAAGAGACTCAGCCTGGATAAGGATAAAGCTCTTAGGGAGTTTATCTTTATCTATTGAAGAGTCCAGGATAAGCACTAAGCTAAAGTTCATTGAAGCAAGGCTTCTATTGGGACTAGGATTGAGTTAACTATAAAAGAGAGGCACCCCCATGAGTCTAAGGTACGCAATTTATATTCAGAACAATGAGTTAAGCATTATTGATTATCTTTGGGAGATATTTGATTACTAACTTAATCATCGGAGTGCCCCCGGGTGGACGAATCACCACCGGAATCTCTTTTTTCTGTTGCAGGTCGTTCGGGCTTATCCTATTCTGCCAGTGTTCTCCAACTGAATACTGAGTTAGCAGTGTGGTCGGAAATTCACTCACACAATTAGTATCATCTTGGATTGAGTATGGTTTAGTAGAAACAGAGGCAAACGGAAAAGTTATTCTTCAAGAACTCGTCAATTCCTTCTTGCTAGAGAATTTTGACAATGGTTTTGTCCAAATGCATGAAGAAACTCGATTTGTCATGAGAAGTTTTAAACTTGGTCATTGGCTAGGGGGATTAGGATTGACTGAAACACCTCAAGTTGAAGATTGGTTTTATTCCGAGGAGATTGAGTTGATGAATAATAAATTATCTGAGCTACCGGAGAAACCCAAGTGCTCATTTCTCCAAAAATTGTTGTTACATAACAACAATGATCTGATGGAAATTCCTCAACTATTCTTTCAAGACATGCCTCGCCTAACACATCTAGATTTGTCTTATACTAGCATAAAGTCTTTGCCACCTTCCATTTCCAATTTGAAATCACTTCAAAAATTCTTTTTGAGAGGTTATGAACTTCTCATAGAACTGCCGCCCGATATCGGAGCACTTGAGAATCTTCAGCATTTTGATCTTAAAGGAACTGAAATAATGTATCTGCCCAAGGAATTTGGAAAACTAATCAATTTGAGACGCTTCAAGGTCTCTTTCTGTCAACACGCAAATCGCTACAAGGAAACTCATCAGATAGACCCAACAATCCCTACAGGGGTGTTGTCAAAACTCAATAGATTGCAGGAATTAATCATTGATGTGAATCAAGATGGTGAGTGGTGGGATGCTGATGTGAAGGTAATCCTGAATGAACTAAGTAACTTAAAATTGTTGTCTATCCTTGAGTTGCATCTACCATCAGCTGAATTGTGGCAACGACTTAGACGGGACCTCACAAAATACCTAACTTATTTTAGATTCATGGTTGGCCGACATCGAAAACGCATCATGTCCCGTCTACCCCATGAAGTTGAAGAGATATTCAAGAAAAAAAAAGAAATCGATGAAATGCCTTGAGTATATAAATGGTGAAGGCATAAGGCATACCAACTGAGATTACCGAGGTACCCAACCATGCCAATTTTTTCTTCCTAGACCACCACTGGACAGTGAAGATGCTTTCTGATTTCGGGAATGAAAACTTGGAAACCCTCACAGTTTGCTTGCTGGTGGAATGTAATGAACTTCAAACTATTTGTTGGAGAAAATACCAGAAACTAAACAATATTATTGATAAATGATGCAAAGAAAATGAGATACAAATAGATCAGGCTGAGGCACGGATATCTCGTTTTCTTTAAGGAGATCAAGCCCACTGCGGTAGGAAGAATCCAAATACCGATGCAGCAGTCACAATACTATGACTTGTCCCCTCCAGGATACAACAGCCCGACCACTTGTCGTATGGTTCAGGCCAACTCTGCACAAGATGGTGAACCCAAAGCTCCACCAATAAAACACCATTCTTTGCTAGTAATCTCTCTTGTATAGAAAATAGTTGATCTCTATAGATAGAAAAGAGTAGACTATATATAGGCTATAAGGACCTTACAGTTACACTATATGTTTTCATACAATTAAGATTTATTTTCAAATGCATTAATTTTTTATTTTTATCTTTACCTTGTGTAAAAGTAAACAAATCTACTTCAAAACTAATCCCAAACACTAGCTTAAACTAATAAAGAAAATCAGGGACTAAGGTGCAAATATGACTTCCTGATTTCCCATGCTAGAGACCACCGTGGGATCATTCGAGATTGGGGATATACTAGTCTGTAAGACCAAAAGAAAAAACTTTTAAAGTGATGGAAAAATTATAACTTCAATTATTAAAATTGTTAAGTTTTACCATTGATTTGAAATTTATTTTGGAAACGTAATTGAATTGTAATTTCCTCCTTCGAAATCCTTCTATTAAACTTTCTGGGAAAATTTTCAAATTAGTGGAACAGTGAATTAAAAAAAATTCTGATAAAACTCTGACATAAAAATTTACACCAACCAAAAAAATTTGTACTATGCACAAAAAATATTGTACCAACGTAAAAATATAAATATTCTTTTAATATATCCCACCTTGTAATTTTTTCAAAACATGTTTGGCATTTTTTGAGGTTATTTCTCAATTATCCTATCTATCTTGTCAGTTATATCACAGCCCACGATCTTTGGACATCATTTCATTTAATTTAGGCATATCTTTTTTCGTACAAGATAAGTCTTAAAATTTAAAATTTATAAATTCATGTAACACAAGTTATTGTCATCATTTTATTTTAGGGGACTGATTTTCTTCCGGTTCGGGATCATATTGAAGGATACTGTTGAGTTCATGGAGATCCACTATTAGTTCTGTTTTGATAATCTGAACCGTTTAATATGTAAAATTCGTCGAGTATTATATATTTGTAAAAAAATCAAGTTAATCGGAGATCAATAACTATGTGATTAAATTAGTTTTGTGTAAAAAAAATAGACGGTGAAAAAATAAACGGTTGATAGAAATCTAATCCGATGAGATAGCTATCGACATTCAATCAACGTGATTTTTTACAAGCATATAGTACTTGATGAGTTTTACACATTAAACGATTCGGATTGTCGAAACAGGACTTGTGGTGGGCCTCCATGGGCCCAACAGTATTCTCCAGTTCGATCAAGGGCTGGAGGGAAGCCTAACCCTTTTTTAATAGTGTTTATAAGCTTATCGAGAACTGAGGAAATACTTATCAAGTTAGTTACTTATGTAATATTGGTATGAATATGGATATTCAATAGTGTATGATCTGTTATTTCTGAAAACAACGTCGATTTGGGGGAAAGAAAAAGGGAAAAGGGTCAGACTCAAGTTCAAGTTCCCAGATAATTACGGAGGATACAGATTTGGTATTATACAAGTGAAATATACTGATTCAATCCTTTTGATTAATTACTATCAATTTATTATTATCATTATTTATATATATAATTTTTTTAGAAACTACTTTAGCCTAGATTTATGTAGAAAGGGAAAGGGAATCGCCCTCAACGCTCTATATGGGATTTGAACTCACAACCACCTCTATGAGGATTTGAGAGCTTACCAATATGGCACAATGTTCCAAATCAATATGCGGATGGGACATACCTTATGTGATAAGGACACTTAATTTTTTATATCCTTCTTTATTTTTCAAAGAACGAAATTTACAAAGATTGAAAGTTTCCTTCTGAAATCTCTACCCCTATGTAATACTGTCTGTCTATAATGACTTGGAAGCGTCTTGGGTTGATGGGTCAGACCTTGCAGGAGAAAACAAGAAAGGTTTTCGAGTAATTTGAAAGCACTCAAGGCTTCCTTCCAACATTTCCACCACGTTAGTCATTGTTGGTCGGTTTGATGGATTGATTTGAATGCACCACAATCCCACCAAGATCATCTTCCTCACCGTCTCTTCTTCCTCTCTGCTAGTGACGATGCTGTGAAGTTTTACATCCTTACCATGTTCCAGATGCTCATAAATCCAGTGTGGAAAGTAATTTTCACTTGTTTCAACTACTCCCAATTTCTGATCTCTTCCTCCAGTCATTTCAAGAACCATCATTCCATAGCTATAGACGTCGGATTTATGAGAGACTTGGCCAAAGGTTTTAGAAAACACTTCTGGAGCAATATATCCAGCAGTCCCTCTGGCACCCAACATTGATATCACACTTTGTTTCGTTTGGCATAGTTTAGCAAGACCAAAGTCTGATATTTTAGGGAGGAGATCTTCATCATGGAGAATGTTATGAGGCTTTATATCAAAATGCCCAATTCTTGTGCTACAACCTTGGTGCAAGTACTCTAGTCCTCGTGCAATGCCCACTGCTATTTGGAACAATGTACTCCATTCCAGGCGACAGTTTGTACCCTGAGATTCTTGGTTGCGAATGAACTTGTCCAACGATCCTTTGGTCATAAATTCATAAATTAGAGCTCTTCTATTTGCTTCAAAACAGAAACCCAAAAGATTGACTACATTGACTGTTGAATATTGGCTATAGATTCTGGCCATGTGATGGAAAGTGGCAGCCAGCTACATGGTGGGGAAGCCATGAGGCCATGTGAGTTGGCCATGAGGCCATGAGAAGCCATGTGAAGCATCAATCTGGAAAGCCACCGAAAGCACAACAATGGGCTGGCAGCCAGCCCATTTCAAAGACTTTCTCTTGCATTTGTAATCTCTATATATAGAGAAGCTAAGGAGAGTTGAGATGTACAGCTGAGATAACAGAGAGGTGTGAGCTTAGAGAGCAAAGAGAGAGAGAGAATTACAGAGAGTGTTGTAATTCTTACCATTTTGTTCAATATAGTGAATCCGCTGCCCGTGGACGTAGGCGACTTACCGAACCACGTTAAATCTTGTGTGTTATTGCTTGTTTGAGTTCCCTGGTGTGCCCCCGATCCTTAACAAAAAAGTCCATGAGATAATGGATTTGGATTTGGAGATCAGAATGGAGGATCATCTGTTACCCTGGAAACTATTCTGTTGGAATGTGGGCCCATTACTTCTTCATTCTTCCTCTGTCATCCAACAAACGGCCGCCCGGTTAGTGAAAGAGTGCCACGGCCATCTGCGTGCCATTGTTCTTCTTGCGAGGGCTTTGAAAGGTGTGACTGATATTGGTGTGTGGGAACTTGCACTCAACCAAGTCAAGGTTAGACCAAAACCAAACCAAACCAAACCGAGCCAAGTCATGTTTCATGTGTTAAAATTCGTTTGGATCTGAAGGACATTATAACAAAACATTGCATTAAAAACTGCACAGGTTGCCCGGAAGGGAGAACAACAGATTCATTAGTATCATTGAGTATGGTTTAGTAGAAACAGAGGAAAACGGAAAAGTTGTTCTTCAAGAACTCATCAATTCCTTCTGGCTAGAGAATTTTGACAATGGTTTTGTCGAAATGCATGAAGAAACTCAATTTGTCATGAGAAGTTTTAAACTTGGTCATTGCCTAGGGGGATTAGGATTGACTGAAACACCACATGTTGAAGATTGGTTTTATTCCGAGGAGATTGAGTTGATGAATAATAAATTATCTGAGCTACCGGAGAAACCCGAGTGCTCATTTCTCCAAAAATTGTTATTACATAACAACTATGATCTTATGGAAATTCCTCAACTATTCTTTCAAGATATGCCTCGCCTAACACATCTAGATTTGTCTTATACTAGCATAAAGTCTTTGCCACCTTCCATTTCCAATTTGAAATCACTTCAAAAATTCTCTTTGAGAGGTTGTGAACTTCTCTTGTAACTGCCGCCCCATATCAGAGCACTTGAGAATCTTGAGGAGTTTGACCTTGAAGGAACTGAAATAATGTATCTGCCCAAGGAAATTGGAAAACTAATCAATTTGAGATGCTTCAAGGTCTCTTTCTGTCAACATGCAAATCGCTGCAAGGAAACTAAGCAGATGGACATAACAATCCCTACAGGGGTGTTGTCAAAACTCAATATATTGCAGGAACTAAGCATTGATGTGAATCGAGATGATGAGTGGTGGGATGCTGATGTGAAGGTAATCCTGAATGAACTAAGTAGCTTAAAATGGTTGAAACGCTTTGAGTTGTATTTACCATCAGCTGAATTGTTACAACAACTTAGACAGATATATCGATATTTTTCTTATTTTAGATTCACGGTTGGCCATCATCGACAACGCATCATATCCCGTCTACACCATGAAGTTGAAGAGATATTCAAGAAACAACAGAAAATGATGAAATGCCTTGAGTATATAAATGGTGAAGGCATACCAACTGAGATTACCAAGGTACTCAACCATGCCAAATGTTTCTTCCTAGACCGCCACTGGACAGTGAAGATGCTTTCTGATTTCAGGAAAGAAAACATGGTAAACCTCATATTTTGCTTGTTGGTGGAATGTAATGAACTTCAAACTATTATTGATGGAGATTATGAATATCCGTTGGGTGTTGTTAATATACCTGTATTCAGATACCTGAAGTACTTGGGTATTCATTATATGTGGAATTTACAAAGTATTTGGAAAGGTCCAATTGATGAGGGTTGTCTATCCAATCTGAGGGTTTTGGCATTGCACACGTGCCCCAATTTGACTACCATTTTCACACCCAATTTGCTTGGTAATCTGAGGCAATTGGAAGAGCTTATAGTTGAAGACTGCTGCAAAATCAAAAGCCTAGTAAGTCAAGAATCTTCAAACTTGAAACATGGTTATGTTCTCCAATCGTTGAAGAGTATATCGCTTCTTGACCTACCAGAATTGGTTAGCATTTCAGATGTTACAAGTATCAGTCCTATGTTGAAAAGTCTGATTGTTTATAATTGTCCAAAGCTTGAAACTCTTTCTGTTAACAAAGCGCCTACTATCAAAAGATTTGAAGATCAAAGGAGAGAAGGAGTGGTGGGAATCATTAAAGTGGCATGAATCAGAGTCAAGCAGCAGTATTTGGATAACTTTTGAGGAACTTGGAAGGGGTGAAGATTTGATGGATGAATTAGCCAGACACATCTACTCACACTGCATTTTTAACAGCTAGGTAATGTCTCATACCTTTTTCATTTAAGAAATATAGTGGATATTTTCTTTTCCTCTAAAAGCATTTATTATACCAAACTAAGCAAATTCTCCTACTTGCATTGTGATCAGTCTTATTATCACCTCTATTTCAAGTTAAATTGGGATAGATCAACAATTATGTATACATTTTGCTTCTTTTTAGCACCCTTTTGGGTAACATTAGATTGCAATAACAGCACATGCTTAATTAAATAAACAACCCGTGCTTGATTCCCTTAGCTAATTGAACCCTCACCTATATGGTTAGAGCCTGATAACAAATTACTTCCATAGGCAGCAAATGGATCCAAATTTTTGTTTTTATTTTTTCACTAGGTTTACTATTACAAGCATAGTGAATGAATTTAGGGTCACTACACATCTGAAACACAACAATTAGCTAATTAATTTAATTGATTCTGACGCTATTTGTCATCTTTGCCATTTGTCCAGTGAGTGACAGGTTATGATAGCTTCATGAAGACCCTTTTGGTGGGAGATTGGGACAATCCGATGGTGTTAAGGAGCTTAAGCCGGGGAATTGTTGCTACTGGTGGCTGTAAATACCAATAAATCATCTTCAAGCAAAATCGATCAGATTAAGCTTCATAAATAGCTTGTTGGTTAATTTCTTTCTTGTATTAATTTCTGCTTGTTTTTATGTCTTTGGATAGATTGGGATGTGATGCTTTATTTGCTGTAATGTCCTTGATACTGTATTTGTTTTAATGTCTTGTTTGGATGCGACAGTGACAATAATTATTATTGAGTGTTGTTTGCTAATAAACTTGTTATTGTTGTTTGCCTGAAATCTATCAATTGTTTTGTTCAGTGTATTTTGGTAACTAATACATGTCTGTATACATCTGGAGCTTTAGTGCTGCATTCAGCGAAAGTTTATAACTATCTCATTGCATATGACTCCATTCTATTTATTCATTTGAAAATACAATTGCAGCCTAAAGTGTAGGTAAACTAAAGGACACTAGGACACGTCTTGGAACTAAGTCCTTGAAATTATTTATAGGGTTTAGGCAGTAATTACCTAGAGCATGTGGAATGGAGGGATTAGTAGTTTGGACAATGTCCTAGAAGTTTGAGATCGTTTAAATGTCCAGATGAGTCTATGCTACAATTTTATATTTTTAAATCTTTGTAATGAAATGATTCAAATTTTTTTCTCTCTTTTCTGAAAAACTTTTATTTTCAGTGATAATTGCATTTAACGGGATGACTTCTGTCTTTTAAAGGCCAACAATATCAATACTAAAATGCTGTGTTTTTTTCTTTTTCCATTTTTTCTAGTGGTAATGTCCACAATGCCAATATGATTTTGGCAGTAGCTTTATTTTTTGTGTACATAAGGATCCTCACATGTAGTAGGGCGACAAATGAGTGCTTTTAAATAGTCTGGATTGTATATATATACACAATTAATTAGGTTGTCCTAATTCACTAGAATACAATGACTTCAATATGGAAAATGGGTTTAAATTTCAACTGCACAACCAAAATTCAACTCTCACTTTCTCGGTTGATTCAATCATTTCCAGAAAAATATACAAAAGTTAAAAATATAAGATAAATTATATTTATTTATACGCTAATATAGTGATGATGTTAAATCATCATCCATTCCTATATATAAAGGCTGAATGCAGCTTGGACGAAGATTTCGGGCTCGTCATTTAAGTTTCGACAATGCTACGTAACTCAAATTTTGTGGCTCAAAAGTGGCTCAAATGACCAAAACGACGTCGTTTTGAGTACAGAACAACATAAAAATGGCCAAAACGACGTCGTTTTGGCCATTTGAACCACTTTTGAGTCACAAAATTTGAGCTACGAGACATTTTCCTTTAAGTTTACTCATTGCCCTTTTGTTATTATATATATTTTTTTAAATGCAATAACTACTACTTTTTTCTAGGTTCAAATTACATTTATGTCGTATTAAATTATAAAATTGGGTAGGTATTTCAAAAAAAAAAAAAAGGGAGATGGATATATTTATATAAAAAATTAATTTGAAAGAGAACAGAAAAAAAGGTTAGTGTTATATTTGGTTGGGTGATTTGAAAAAAGATTTGAAAAGAGAAAGGAAAAAGTGTGTGAAACTCTATGAAATGTAAGTATATTTTATTCACATTTCACTTATCTCTTCCCAACTTCTTTTTAAATCCATGATCCAAATACAACCTTATATAATTATATATTAGTTTGGTTCGTTTATTTTTTTTTACCATTTTCAATATTTGTTTTGAGAAAGTTTATGTTACACACCACTTTATCATAAAATATAAAGTTAAAATTTTTTGTCTAGTTGCATTCATCCTTTATATATAGGATGGATATTTAATAACTAATTTTTTCTCTCGAAGTTACATTTTGTCTCTTGAAGGTCCTAATTTCATAATAAATGACCATTTTTATTAATAAATTTTCAAGTCAATTAATAGCTTTTAATGATGTAAAAAATATATTTTAATTAATAATTCAAATAATTTTATTATTATATAAGAGAGTAGTTATAAATTTTATTTTTTCAATTAATTCTATTAAATAAAAAAATTCTGACAATATTTATAATTTTTTAAATCATATGGATAATATATATTTTAAGCAAATCTCAAATGATATATTTGTAATTTACTCTTAAAAAAAGTTACAAATTTTTGTCCAGCTGCATTCAGCCTTTATGTATAGAAGGATAGCTATGATGAAATTTTTTTTTTTATTTTTATTTTCATAAAAATGAATACAACTTAATCATCAGCATACACCGGTAAGAATAAGTATGTCAAATCTTCAACATATTTTTAAATTTATAGGCAAATTTTGACCTAATGAAAATCTACCACTTGTATATTTGATGTTTTTAGCATATATAAAAATTTGCAAATTTTATTTTAAAATTTGAAACTCTTAGAACTATTATTCGTAAAAATAACTTTTGTATGATATATATACATATAGATAGATTGTAAATGTAACGCCCTGTATTTTATTACTCGGATAACCTTATCAATATTCATTAATTAAGTCCATTTACAAATAACATTTCATTATTGGATGAAATGATGAATAATTAAATATACATATTCCCTCTCGTTATACAACAATGATATTTACATACAAATAAAAGAAATTCCCTACGGCTTACAATAAAAGAGACGACATTACTCTTTACAAAAAAAATAGTACTCAGCTAAATAACAAATGAAGTAGTACAATCCATCACTACATTACACTTATGAAATGGTAAAAACGATTGTTTGATCTTCAAATCCGAAAAGCATTCTCTGTACACATGTACAAGTAGGGGGTGAGCAACCACTAGCTCACCAAACAATCTCATATTAAAACATTAGAAAATATGCGGGTATCAAAATACTCATACATATATGTGAAATCATATCATGTCAAAACCATATGACTTTATTGCATAATCTCTTAAATCCAATTTATTTAATTAACCACAATAAGTTAACTTAAATAAATAAACATGTTTCAATAATAACATGACATCATTTTCAATTCATTCAATTATCTCATTATCAATTGAATCAAATAATTAAACAATTCATCAAATCCATTTTATACAGTCTTATGAGATGAATGCATATGACATGTCATACTCAAAATATTTTTTCTCATCTTTTGAAAATCTTACGCACAATGCCATTTTGAAAACACATTAATCCAACAATTTCAATAAAATTCCAAAATGGTAAATATGACTCAGGTAATCCCTGAGCTGGTGTCTGCAAGTAGACTATACAAGTACTATCAATTTGTCATTTTTACCAGTATTAAGTGGAAGGCTCGACACCTATCATCTACACCACCTTTCAAGACTAACCACCATATTTACCCCAAAATCATTTCATGAAAACTTGTTTCCCAACATTCCTTTCTCAACGCAAAGTTTTCAAATCAAATTTCAAAGCTCATCATTATCAAATGAATTGATATGCCAATGCAATGATTAATAATATAATGCAATATTTCTTCCACTTTCAATACTTCTACACAATATTCTCATTGTGATCAAAATTCTCATTTCTCATTTCAATATAATTTCTCAAGATGAATATAAATACTTTTATTCCAATTCATCGATGGGACAACAAAATTTCCACACTTAGAGTAATCTCAACCATTTAGTCACTTTAAGACTATATCAACATTCTGAACAACAATTTCCAAAACTTCAACAATTCTCATATTTCGTGAAAACCATCATTTATATGTAAACAAATAAATAATTTTTCAAATGTCATTTATTTTGGCACACAAAATAAATATGACATCTTTCTTGAAAACCCCCAATTTCTAGGTTTTCTCACCAAAACTACTCATATTCATTTATTGAAAGAAAGTCACCAAAAACATCTCTCTTCAATCATCATAGTTCAAAACCCTCAATTTTTATTTTAAAAGGAACAAGAAAGTAAACCCACTTTCAAAAAAAAATTTCTCATCTTCTTGAATCAACAATCAATTTTCAAAACAAATCAAAGGATGATTTCAAAAATCTTGCAAAAACATATATATAACTCAAAGGAAATCCATATTTATTAAATGTTACCATTTCCATTCTACTCTATCAAAAGCTATGGTCTAATTTTAATAACACACTTTTAACATAACTGATATAACCTTTTAACTAAAACTAATTTAATCCACTAAATTAGTAAGTTTATCATATTCAAAAAATTTCAAATTAATAATACCAAACCTAACTTCACATGTCTCATCCCTCAAACATAACTATATTTCAACATAACAATTTTTCATGCCAAGCTATTTAAAAAGGTAATATTTTTACCAATTTCTCAACCAATAACAATTTCACAACTTTTTCTAAAATTACTTAACCAACATGATATTTATATCAAAAATTATGAAATATGCCTAATAGTAACATTTTCAAGGTTATGAGTTTGAAAGTCCACATTTCATATTTTTATTTTCATAAAAATGAATACAACTTAATCATCAGCATATCATTTTTTATAAAATAACATGAATATAACACTTTTAGAGTTTTTTTAATCCCAAAGCAACTCTATAATTTTTACTTAAGCATTTACTTCATATTCCTCAACATTAATTTATTTTTCTCAAAAATAAATAAAATAAATCATCTAATCTTAATATGATGTAGAGACAATCTATACAACTATTAAATTTTATTTTCGGATTTCTTTGCAAAATTATCAATGCAAAATGATTTTCCCAAATCAATCTCAAAATGCCAACATTCTTAACATTTTAACATAATTTTTCTTCAAAAAATTACCAAACAAAAATCTGAAAAAAAAAAAATATATATATATATATATCTAATACCTCTTATAATGATATATTTTATCAAAATAACCATAACATAGTTTTAATGTAAAAATATGAAGAAAGTCCCTACTTCAAATAATGTTAAAGAGTAGATCTGAAAGGCAAATCTTGCTCAATCGTGAATCTGGGACTACCATTGCGAAGATCACGACAAGCTCTCTAACTTTCATTTACAATATTTTTACAAAATCTCACTCTAAAGACTCCTATTTGAAGCTCAAAAATTGAGCAATAACCGAGGAAAAGAAAAAAGAAGAGAGAGAGAGAGACATGCTGAGAGAGAGAGTGTGCTGGGCTCTCTGCTCAACCAAAAATGAAAGAAGGAAAAAGAAATGATGGGAAGGAAAGAGGGGAGCAACCCCACGTGTTGGGCTCCTTTACTTAGCCAAAAAAAATGAAAGAAAGAAAAAGAAATGATGGAAAGGAAAGAGGGGGGGAGCAACCCCATGTGGGTTTTGCTTTCCCAATAATGAGTTTTTCAAAATATTAATTTTTTATAATAATATTTTCAAATTTTATAATATAAATTATAAAATGATATAATTTTTCTCACCACAAAACATAATATTTTTATGCACCACAAAATATAATATTTTGTTCACTATGAAATATACACCCATTTCATTTACTATAAAAATATATAATTTTTCACCATATGGTACACACCATAAAATTAACTATTAAATATTTATTATAATCCTATATAATAAATAATAACAACTTCCAATGTGGTTACTACCAATCACATAATTAAAAATGACAAAACAGTTAAACATGAATCACTAAACAAACTTAAATTAAATTAAATATAAATTATGGGTCTTGATTAAATTCTCACCCATAAGCCAAACATCGCCCAATTATATACCAAAATAGACCCAACAAATTTATCTCAAGTCATGGTCTAAACATTCAAAATTAAATAACAAAATTCTGGTATGAATTAAACTGAACACCAATCAATCTGCGAATTTTCATAAAATAAATACTCACCAATAAATTCTGAAATTTTTACCCAGCGTGCTAGACTCGTATGTAAACAACATATACAAATTTTATAATTTTCTGAGATCGGGAACTATTTTAACAAAATACAAAACCGAACTGTTTTCGCACAAAATTTATACAGCAGTCAAATACAAAAATTTGCTCAATTAAATTATGCACTGACTATTTTATAAAAATAAAAAAAATAAAAAAAAATTCTGGTTCATCACAGTAAATTTCAAGAATTATAAGATTATGGAAATCTTATTATTCCAAGTAGACAGAGTAGATTTAACATTTTTTCCCTTAAGTAAAATTTTAGTAACCTAAAAATATAGGCCAAGTTGTTCAACGTTAAGCTTAATTTAGGTTTAGCTGAAAATTGACAATGATTTGTTTTTAATAATATCAAGTCAAGTGTTTCATCTTTAATAATAGTTTAGATAAATTGTAATAATGCAATTTTAAATTTATATTGCAGTTGGATAATGGATGCAGTTTTTTTTCTTAAGCTAAAAATAAATAATGAGAAATAGGAGCTAATAGTATTCCTCCCTAACTTCCACATAATTAGTTTTTCAATATTTTTAAATTATTTAAGTTATATCTATATCATAAGTTAAAGCTATATCAAATACTTTGATATTGATTTTTAAATTTTTTTTTAAAGGAAAAAGAAGAAGAAAAAAAAGTTATAAGTAGATCCGATAAGTTACAACAAATAGGGTGGATTGCAATCAGTTCTACCAAACGGGAAACAAAAGTGTGTTTTAAAAATTGTGGTGAAATCAATTTTCTAACACGCTATCCAAACAGACGGTTCAGGGGAAGAGGTGGAATCAACTTTTGAAAGCTGCACCAAACAGAATCTTAGATTTACATACATATCATAATTGATCACATATAAGGCTATTTCATTACATTGATTGGAACAGTCTATTTTTAACATTGACTTTTTTTAAAATTTCATTTTGTGCTTGATTGGACAAAAACTAAAAATTCTATAGAAAATATTTTTCATAATCAACCAAACAAATTTATTTAAGCCAAAGACATTTTTTACTTATAAAAGTTAGAAAATATTTTTCGAACTAAAATTTTATCATCTCCACTATCACTGCCGCTGTCACCACACCATTGCTACTACCACCACACCAACACCATCACTAATACAATCACCAACACATTAGTTTCAAATACACAACTTGACGTGGCTAAGCCCATAGAGGCCATGGCCCACTATAAACAGCCCAAGCCCATCACTTGGAGCCCAGTGCATAACCCAGCTGGTAGAGTCCAGAACAGCTGGAATCCAGCATGGCACAAAGAGCCAATGACATTCAGACACGTGGTAGGTGAAGGACGAGCCACATCAGCAGACAAAGATCTGCAAAATTATTGCCACTGCACATCACCATTAATGCAGCCCATCACAGCATTTATTACGACAATACCTCCCCGTCGGAACAGGACCCCCTTACCCTGATCAAGGTAAGCTACAGCATAGACTTTCGGCGAGGAGGGCAGGTCGGAAGGGACAGCGAAATGATTGCTAAAGGATATAAGCAAACGTTGAAAAAGGAAGAAGGTTAAGCTTTCTATCTCCAATCTCTCTCTCTACACACTACTTCCTCTATTAACTTGCTCGTCGGAGGGTTCATTGACGAGCAAGTTAATAGAGGAAGTAGTGTGTAGAGAGAGAGATTGGAGATAGAAAGCTTAACCTTCTTCCTTCTTCAACGTTTGCTTATATCCTTTGGCAATCATTTCGCTGTCCCTTCCGACTTGTCCTCCTCGCCGAAAGTCTATGCTGTAGCTTACCTTGATCAGGGTAAGGGGGTCCTGTTCCGACGGAGAGGTGTTGTCGTAATAAATGCTGTGATGGGCTGCATTAATGATGATGTGCAGTGGCAATAACTTTGCAGATCTTTGTTTGCTGATGTGGCTCGTCCTTCACCTGCCACGTGTCTGAATGTCATTGGCTCTTTGTGCCATGCTGGATTCCAGCTGTTCTGGACTCCACCAGCTGGGTTATGCATTGGGCTCCAAGTGATGGGCTTGGGCTGTTTATAGTGGGCTATGACCTCTATGGGCTTAGCCACGTCACAACTAAATATTGCAACCAAAAAAAAAAGTCTACAAAAAATATATTTCAAAAGGAAATATTTTATATTGAAACAAATGGAGCATTATTTGGAGAGATTTTTCAAAGTAGCAGGCACAATACAAAAAAAATCAGTATGGCATATGAATTTACTCTATCTAATATTCTGTTGGATGTACTACATTTTCTATTTTTCTATTTGGATGAATACTATATAAGACTTCTATTCTTTCTCCAACTTCAAGCTTTATATTCAAGAAATTTGAATCAGAACTTCTATATTCAGAATCTAACCATTTCTAATGCCTTCATGCCTTGAAGAAATCTAATAACCACTTCAAAATTCTTTCATGCGCTGAAGATATCTTCTTCACATCAAACTTTAATTAATCTTGGAAATCTGTTATGTACTTCTAAAATCATATCAATTCAGTGTATCCATAAATAAACAAAATCATTTTATCTGTTTGGCAATGAAAATAAATTTTCAGCTATTTGTTTTTGAAGTTTACATAGATGAGAACTCTCCATTCTACACCGAACTTGGAAGAAAGGTAATCACGGAGAATGTATCAAAGTATGAACAAGAAGAAAAGGAATAAGTGAAAGATAATTAAATATGCATCACAAGAATAAATCAAACGGTGTTCACCTTACTCCACGAAAGAAGAAATCACATAGTGTGAAGTACGCAATCAATTAAAAAATCGTGAGGACTACCATTTTATTGGAAAATCTCACTGCTTTTTATCACTTTTAAGTGCTTGCAGAAAGTCTTGCTTCAGTGCATATCTAGAGTCATACAGATAATAAAGTAGGGAAGTGAAAGAGAGTCATAGTAGAAGGCATGTGAACGATGAGACAATAATTAGAATATCAATTAGCAGCTAAAACCAAGACTAGAGAACAAGAACAAGTGTACTGGATAAAAGACAACATATTGGTGACAGTCTTGTTCTGTAGTACATCAAATAAAATAGAAAATAGTAGGTCTGTTGTTTTCATATATGAATACATACATGTAAAATTGCAGCAGCGTAGACAAGCACACAAACAAGGAGGAACAAACACACATACAAAAGAAGCACTTAACAACAACAGCAAGAAACAAACAAACACAAACAAAAGAAGCACTCAACAACAACAACAACAACAACAACACCATCGCATCCAAACTAACTTGGAGTTCCATGCCAATGGGACCTCTGAACTATTTTGGAAAAAGAGGGTGGAAAGGATCCAGTGCTGCTAAATTTCGAAAGCCCATACTACCATCTTCAGAGAGCAGCATCACTGCGAGATCTATGAACTCTGGCAGACTTCAAGTTAGACAAGGAAATGCACAAAATATGAACATAAAACATTTTAAAGATGGAACATTACCTGAGGGTACATAATTTTTGAAGACGTTCTTTGACCTCATAGTACCTCTTGTGCTCCAACTCCATTGATATTTATTCCTGCTCTGCTTCAATAGTTTCTAGCTTTGCTGCGTTATCTTTGTTGAAAGGCAATTTAAGCAACATAGGACACTTTAAAATCTCAATCTTCTCCAAGGATCCCCACTTCAGTGATTGGATAGCGCAGACACTTCTTAATTTTGGCATGTCAAGGAGAATCAATTGCTTCAGCTTTGGCAGTACGTTCAGATTTCCAACAGCGTCAGATTTTGCAATTATTTCTTCAATTTCTTGGCACTTATCAATTTTCAAATACTGGATTTCATGAAGTTGTTGAATCACGCCAGCAGGAAAAATCTTGACCAGCATTTGACAACTAATCAGATCTAGAGTCATTAATTTGGTTAGGCCTGGGCCCTTCCAAATGCTTTCCAGCTGTGGTAGGTTTTTCAGAAATAAGTGCTGGACCTCGTTCATGCTTGCACTCCCAAAGTCTGATAGCTGCTTGATGTTCTGGTGATTGACTAATTCGAATGCATCTGCTTTAGCAAGGGCCTTAGGAAATGGAAAACTGTGACTTGCACCATTGCAATATTTGATATACTTATCATATTTCAAAAATTTGGGAGATTGAGAAACTTCAGAGTTTTGGCAACCAATGTAAAATTCAAATGCAGTGATGGCATCTCTCCATGAACTATTTTCCGTCAAATATAGAGCAAACGCAGTTTCAGGACTACAAATATTGAGAGATCTACTACATTCAACCTCTATGACAACTGCCACCTTCTTGGATAAACAAATCTTTAGACTCTTAAATTGTTGCAATTTTGCTACTTCTTTTATGATATTATCTACCATCTCATTGGGCAACTCCTCAACTGAATTGACATCAATAATCAATTCTTCCAATTTAGGAAGTTTTGAAATTATGTCGTAGATTGAATGTGCATTTTCATTTCCAGACTTAATAAAGGATACCCGCAAGCTCCTCAGACAACTCAACTTTACAATTTCAACTGGTATATCATTGAATGCACTCCCCCGAATATCAAGCGTTTCAAGTTGCTTAAGTCCATCAATGTCAGAAGGGAGGTTACTCAAACCTTTGCAACCAACTAGATATAGAATTTTGAGACTGTCCAAACTTGATATAGATGATGGTAACAAATCGAGTCCAGTATGAGATAAATCCAAAACTCCAAGCTTTTTCATATTCTTAAAGAACAAAGGATCGATTTCCTTCAGACACAAATTCTTCTGCAGGAAGAGTGTAGAAAGCATGGGACAATTAGGGGAACCTGGTAACTGCTTCAACTCATTGTCACCCAAGGAGATTCTATTCATCTCACCCCAAAGTTTCACATATGGTGGCTGTTTTAATGCTTTGCTAGCTTTCACTAGATGCCTATGTTCAGGATAATCTTCTGTTACATACACAGCCACTTGTCGGATGAATTTATCCATTTTAACATGATCCATACTCTTGCCTTCCTCAAGTATTGACAACGCATGAAAATAATCCAATATTGAATTCCCATATGTTGTGCTATTTCCGTTGAAAAGGAGATTGTTAGCTTCCCAACACTCTAACAAATCATTTTTGTTGATGTCTGTGTCTTCTGGATATAATGCACCATAAAGAAAACAATTCTTACACTGGTCATCATCCAAGTTATCATAACAAAATTGCTTCAACAATTCATATAATTCCCTAATGCCTTCGCATCCAATTTTTAACCAACCCCTCCAACTTTTCAATCCATCAACCCCAAGGACATCCTTGACTTTCCATTTGAAAGTATTTGCTACCTTGACTTTCCATTTGAAAGTATTTGCTACTTTTTCTATCATGAGTGGAAGTCCACCGCAACCTTTGCACAGTTCCATTGCAGCTTGCTTAGTGTTTTTATCTCCAATAAGTTGTGTCTGTCCCCAAACATCTTGAAACATCTGCCATGCCTCAACTCGAGTTAAACATTTCACCCGAATCACCCTGTTCACCATTTTGGTACAAGCATTCAGCTGCCTAGTTGTCAATACTATCTTGCTGCGATTGTTGCTTTCAGGAATCCCAATCTCTCTTAAATCAAGATAGGCCTTGACGTCATCTAAAAGCAGCAAGTACCTCTTGCACTCCAACTCCTCTGATATTTTTTTGGCAACTTCGCAGAACTTGCTGGGGTCTGCGATGTTTAGTTTCAGTGTTTGCACAATATCCTGTTGCAGATGCTCCCTGCTGAAATTTTCCTCGCTCTCCTCTTTTGATACTTTGAGCCAGATGACTATGGGAAAATTTGTGGCAACTTGTTCATGTTTATTCAAGTTGCGCAGTATGGTTGTTTTCCCAATCCCCACTGTCCCGTGGATACAAATCCCCTTAGTCTTGTCATCTTCCAGCAAAACCAGTGTCTGCTCTAGTGGCTCTTGAAGTGTTCTAAATCTGCTGATATCTGGTGCCCTGCTGCTTTTCACAACACTTTCTAGTGATGGATCAATCATCATTTCATATTTCTTTTGCATAAGTTCCTTTACTTTGTCAAACATTTTTCTTCTCTGTTTTCTGGAATCCAAACTTGAAGGAGACCAAAAAGATGACTCTTTGCTTATTTTGTTATATTCAGCCACAAAATCCTTCACCTGGCTAATCCATTCCTCGCAAGCTTCAGATGACTCCATCATATGACTATCCTTAACATGAGAAAGAAGCACACCAACTGCATCATTAATAATACGAGGATTGTCCTCTGCATTGTCCGTGAGGACGAGTTCGCTCGAGTGTGAACCCCAAAATGCTGTCTTTGCTTGGGACCCAGCCTGCACCACTTGTGCTGCTGCCGATACTGCTTTGCAAACTACTGATAGTGTCTCCATTGTTCTGCCAATCAAGAAACGCAGAAACTGTAACAGAGAAGTTGAAAGAAGCAAAAGCAAGGATGGATATAAGCTGCCATCTTTAATTCCTGCTCATGTCAGATATCACCTCAATTGTAAATCAAATGGAATGGCAAGTCAATTTACTATGTATAGGCAATGCATTTGTTGTTGCAATCAATTACAGGACAAGAATCATATTGAATTAACAATAATGAAATTTTTTTATTTTCTTTTCCCACTGTAAGACCATCTCCAAAGCAGGTGGCAAATGTGTTGTTGGCTATCTCATGGGCAGATTTGCTACCATCATTTGTTATTATTGAGATTTGGCACTTCAACGAAAATAGTAAACCTTGTTATTTTATAATTATTTAGAAGTAACATCAAAATGTAATGGATGAAATTGTGAATGGATGTCATGGCCCACTAATAACATTGTTCAAAAGTATTCATTCGGTGTGTGAAATTCAACACAACAGATTTGTCATTGTTTGAAGAGGATAGCAAACTTAATTTGCCATTTGTTGTGTCAATTCAGCTTTGTTTTTATTTATGTGACACATCAATTAGCATTTGCTATGTTGATATGGAAATGGTCGGACAAGTACTTCCTCATGGAAACTGGAAAGGCAGCTTGGAAATGGGTGGTGTGACTATAAAAATAAGATTTGGAAACATGCTCATAGACACTTGTGTGGGCAATTGTTGGAACTTGAATAGGAGGTTTTAAAACTTCCCTTTAGTTATGTATTGCTTGTACAAGTGCTTGTGCTGCAGTGTAGCGTGGCCACAATTTTTTGAAATTGCTCTCTTTCTTTTTTAATTTATTTATTTTTATTATTTTTTCCTTATATTTATTTTTGTTATTTTTTCCTTAATCGTTATAAGGCAATGGTTTTTGTTTGGCCACGAGTTCTATCTAATGAGAACCAACGCCTTGACCAAGAGGTGTGGCTTTCACAAACAGACACTTGAAGTGTCTATTAAGGATATGAGCTCTCATGTTTTCTGCACCAGAAAAAAGCACAGGGTTTCTCTCATCTCTCATCTTTGATTTTCTTACTTTCATATAATGTTTTGAGCAATTTCAATCATAGATGGTTCTACATGCCCTCTAGGGCATGTTTGATTGGATGAATTAGAGTATAGGATTGGGATTATTAATCCGTGGGCCTAATTATCCTATGTTTATTTTAACATTTTAGTTTAGGATAATTAATCCAATGGATAATTAATTCAACAAATTTGTAGGATTATTAGTAATGGGGTAGGGGTGGGATTATTAATCTAATGGATATTAATCCAATTGGATAGTGAATACTGTAAAATAAATTGATATATATTATTGATTGATATAATGTTATATATTTTACAAATGGTGAGTGGCTCATTATATAGGAGAGGGTGAGTGTAGTAGGTGAGGAGTAGGTGGTGGTAGGTGATGGTAAATTGGTGGTAGGTGATGGTAAATTTTAACAGCCCCCCGCAAACTCAAGGAGGATAGAAACTAACCAACTTGAGTTTGGAGAGAGTAACAAAACAAGAAAATACATAAAAATAAAAAAGGATAGAAGACACTGTATGGTCGTGTCAGACCATTGGTGAAGACACTGGATGGTGGTGTCATAACGTTGTAGAGGACACTGTATGGGGGTGTCAGACCGATGTAGAAGACAGTTTATGGGGTCATGTCGGACCGTTGTAGCAGACAATGTTGTGACAGTTGTTGTGACAGTTTACGGAGTCTTGCTGGACCCTTGTAGAAACTAACCGGAATCAATGTCGGGCCAGTTTACAGAGTCTTGTCGGACCCATAAAGGAGCTAACCGGAATTAATGTCGGGACAGTTTACAGAGTCTTGTCGAACCCATAAAGGAGCTAACTGGAATCAATGTCGGGACAGTTTACAGAGTCTTGTCGGACCCTTAAAAAGTCGCACCCTTAAAAGGTGTGCCCAATCTATCAAAAAGCGTGCCATCAAAAGGCGTGCCCAATTCATCAAAAGACGTGCCGGACATGATGGCGAGGCACGTGGGCTCCTTGGCTTGCGCGCCCGTTGGTCGGCTGGCGTCAAGTGGCGTGCGATACGCGTGGCTGCCTCGGCTATTTAACCAAGACGGAGGCTGAGGCTGAGGCAGAAGCGGAGACAGAAAAACTGAGAGAAACCTCTGAAAAATTCTTCGTGTTCCTCTGAAAAAATTCTTCGTGTTCTGAGAGAGATACTCTGGAAATACTCTGGATCCAACCCTTCTCTGAAAAAACTCAACAACCCATAACATGGCCTCGTCTTCCCGTTCAGCTACCCAGAATATGGCCCCTTCGTCCCGTGGTCTGCTCACTCTCTTTCCCGACCTCAACGAGTCAACAAGAGAGATAACTGGTGCGGGGGCCAGTGAACCTCAACCAAGCGGCCCAGGGTTTGCTCCGTTGAACTTTCCTATGCGGTCGGTGGAGCAAAAAATGGCAGTGCAAACTGACATTGAAGCCAATCAGTATACTTTGAAGTCCTGTGTGGAGACGATGACGGCAGTCACAAACTTGTCGCACCGGCTGCAGAGTAGGACAAATAAGGTGCAGCATTTAAACGGCCAACTGGCTCTGCTCCAGCGCATGTATAAGGATGCGCGAGCAGAGATAAGTGTGCTGAAGGCAGAAAACAAGGAGCTGAAGCGGAAGGCTACCGTTATGTTCCGATTTGGAGGTCCGCCATATGCTGCAGTGGAGGAGTATGGTGGGGTGAACGTGCCCAATGGAGTGGGAAACACGGAGGCAACACCGGCAAGGGCCGCCCAGGACGGAGGAAAGAAGAAAAGACCTGCAGTAGAGTAGAGAAGGGAAAAGGAAAAAATCCCGCCGGTGGGTGGCTGTTTGTTTGTTTGGTTTTTTTTTTTTTTTTTTGGTGTAAAAATGTGATCGGGGTGGATCCGGAGATGAATAAAATACGATGAATAAAATATGAATGTTGTGCAAATTTGTAAATTGTTTGGTTTTTTTTTTTTTTGTTAAAAGAGAGGGAACACGCCCATGTGATAATAATAAAAATAATAAGAAAGAGAATGAGAATGTGCACAGTGTCCAGCAAGGTGATGATGAAAAGAAAATAAATCCAGTGGAGGGTGTCGGAACCTGTGGGCTAGGATAGTGGATGTTAAAATATTAAAATAGGTTGGTATAGTGCAAGGGTGTGGGGGTATGTGTGCCTGGTGTGTTGAAGTTGCTGCATCTTTGAAAGCATCCATATATTTTCTATCCACGGGCTCAACAGGTGGGAGTGAGAAGAGGACACGGGAGATTTGTGGCCCAGATAAATTAGGTGGACAACCCAAGTGAACCTCGCTCATCATAATAGCCTCCTCCTCCGGTGTCGGTGATGGTGGGATGGCGGCGGAGCTGATTGGAGCAGGTCAGCGGCAGTGGTCGGCAGAAAGCGGAGCTAGGATAGGATGGTCTCTGGTTGGCCTCCGTCATGAACTTTCCGGCGAGATGCTCCAAGATAATTCCAGCAGAGGCGGCGAAGAAAGCAAGGACGTAGGTGATGAAATGCCTCTCATCGGCAGGGAGAGGTTCGGCCCAGTGTCGTTGATCTTGTGATAAATCGACCTCCTCGGCAGTCCAGAACGATGCTTCGGCCTTCTTGTACATCTCCCAGATTTGTGGGTACTGGATTGGAAACATACAGAATCGATCTGGGTTGGGAGCGAGAAGGGGTTCAATGGGAGGTATCAATTTCCTCCACGCCTCCACGAACGTCGAGTCCGCGGAAGCTTCCACCGGGACGTCGGTGGAGAACTGGCAGCGACACCTCATCGCCACCGTGGTGGCTCGTGCCATGAGCTGAGGCGCTTGTCGGAACATGGTCGGGGTTCGGTAAATAAACAATCTGAAGTAGCAGTCGTAGCTTCCCACTGCTTGGACTGGCTACCAAATGGACATCGTCTGGAGGTTCAGTGGTGGAGGCGGCGATCGGCGTGAGTCGAGGAGCAGCAGCTGGAGCGAAGGGGAAGAAGAAGGGAGCGACGTTCGTGATCGACTGTGCGAAGCCGGTGGAGGATAAGATCATGGAGATCACATCACTGGAAAAGTTCCTCCAGGAAAGAATCAAGATCGGCGGGTCAGAGGGAAGAGAGTTGGAAGATGCAGGAAACTGAAGGTATGTGTAGAGGTCCGGCGGGCGGCCAAGGCGAGGCTGCCGCCCGCCGGGAGAAGGTTGAAGGTTGTAAGAATTTATGTATTATTGATTGATATATTGATATTTGTTATGTATTACAAATGGTGAGTGGCTCATTATATAGGAGAGGGTGAGTGTAGTAGGTGAGGAGTAGGTGAGGAGTAGGTGGTGGTAGGTGATGGTAAATTGGTGGTAGGCACACTAATTTAATAGGATTATTAATACTTCATTATTAGTTTTGTGAATCAAACATAACCCTAGTGTGCACGAACACTAGAAGGCTGGCAGTAATTTGGATTGAATCTTGGAGCTATTGATTGACCGTCACTACCTTCGTGTGGGGAGGCAATAATAGCTTTAGGAAAGCAAAATCGCACCTCTAATCATAGACCAATTTCCCCTAATTTGTTTTTGCTATATATGTAATATATGAACATAATTTCATTTACTGTATACATATCTATGATTATAGTATAAATCACATATACAGTCCCTGAGGTTTGTCAAAAATGCAGATTTTCCCCTCACGTCCTAGAAATTACAAATACCCCTCATCAAAATTTTTCTAGAACTAACGGGTAATTTTATTCGCATGCCATACTTTATCTCAGTACACATCATTCGTGCCATTCAGATATCAATTTCCAAACAAAAACAAAATGTTCGAATGTCAACTTCTGAACAAAAACCAATTATTCAATCAAAAATCATGTTCAATAGTTAATATCAGAACATTTGCATTTAGTTCAAAAGTAGATAACCAAACAATTGTATTTTGTTTGGAAGTTGATATCTGAACCGCACAAATGGTGTGTAAATAGTCACCCAGAACT